GGAACACAACAACGGTGGGCCGCCAATATATGTGACGGTGCTCCAACAACTGACGCAAGGTGAAGATGTGATCAATGCAGCCTCGATCTCGTCGAAACCCGGCTTGCTGTTCACGAATCTGGCTTTCACGAGTGCCAGTCAGTCTGTGAAGGATGACAGAGGCAAGCAATTTGGAGGCGATGGAGATCAGACTGATTCCTCTATGGCTGTCGCATTTCGATCGCGAGCCTCCCTTGAAAATTGGGACTATGACGGAGCGGCTCCAGTCAGTTGGGACAATTTCCTGCTCCCACAGTTTGACTAGTAACTGGTATAAATCATCCACAAGAGCAGGTCCCCCGAATTTGAAGATGGCTGGAGGGGGTTCTGCGGCTTTATTTAACTTCAACAGTTCAATCTCACGTTCGACTTCTGAGCGAGAGGGTGGATCCAAAGGGACAGTCCAGGGAGCGGGACGATCAGTGGCCGGTGAGGAATCTAACCATTCCGACCGATTAAATTGCCTTTCAAAGTGCTCAGCCCAACGCTCCAAGCGTTTTGCCAAGTTGTGGATAAGCTGTTCACTCTCGTCATAAATTGTTTCACTAACACCAGGTCTCCTGCTGCCCGTTTCCCGTACCAGCCGGAATAACGTTCGATGGTTACCAAAGGCAGCGACCGTTTCTATCTCTGTCGCACGAAGAGGGCACCAAGATTCGTGGTCTCTGTTCAGGCTAGCACGGGGTTTTGCCCGGAGATCTTTGCGACTTTCACTGTGTTCGCTTCCAGCCGGAATATGCCGGCGAGCATCGATAAGTTCCAGAGACTGCGAAGGGACCCAATATCCATGTTGGCGATTAGACTTACCACATGAGGATTTTCCTGCTGCTAGTAAGGTCTTGTGAATATGAGACCAGTGAGCTTTGATTGCATCCAGTGAGCGCTTACTCAACTCGCATGACGGGTTATTTTGATAGGCGTTCAGAACTGCTGGCTTCGCCAGTTGGCTGGTGTCAATGCACTCACAATGTCGTCGTGGGCGTCCGCCAAAGCACATCCGCAGGTCAGCACATACAACTGCACGGTCGGTGTTCACACATATGCTCCAAATCGAGCGACAGTTCTGGACGCAGCCTCTCCATCGTTAACTTATCGCAATGTGATCGATTTGCGTCCATAGCTGGTTTGAAGCTGGTGGGCACCAAGTCACTCTCCGGCGGGTGCTGTGTCGGAAATTAGTGCTCGCAAGAAATAAGCGAGCATCCTCACACAAATGAAGTAACCGCTCACCATTACCATTACGGGTACCTACACCATATTGGCCTCCCAGATGCAGTTCATCAGTGGATGATTTTCCAACTTGAGCGTTCAGATCCTCAGCCAGCACAACAGTGTCCGAGCTCCTTCTGTGGTGAAGGAGCTCGTTCAGTTGACAATAGAAGTCGTCTTTTACCGTGTCATCGCTAGAGTTTGTGGGTGCATAGGCAGGGATAATGCATGGACACTTATTAGTCACACGCGACTTCGAAGCTTTGAACGAACCAGCCAATCGGACTGCGCACATCCGGCTACTAATTGGAATCCAATCAACCAAAGTAGCTTCAGCCCGGGGACTCAGGGCAATACTAACACCGGCTTGGCCGGTACTCGAAGCTGCATCGTCACCGGATAGGCGCAATGAGAAAGAGCTGCTAGAGTCACCTGAAGGGGGTCGCAGAGTGAGCACAGAGCTCGAGTCTTGCAGGCGGGTCTCCGATAAGCAGCAGATATCGATCGAGAGGATCTCTAATGTTCGGGCAAGTGCTGCCTGTTGACCGATCTGAAGCAATGTGCGTACATTGAGGTATGCCAATATGAAGGAGGATCGAGGGCTCCAAATGGAAGCCGATGAACTGGAATGGGCCGCTTGCTTGGACATGAGCCTGTTGACAGGGCAGGAATGACGCTCCGCGTTCACATGTGAGTTGAAACTAGAAACCAAGTGACTATTGAAGCAAGGTGGGGGAGGGCCAAGAATTGGGGGTTGAAAACAGGGGGGGATAAAAGTGAAGCTGGAACGTGACGATAAGGGTGAAAAATCGTGGGAGGGGGAATAAGAAGATGGGAAGGCTTGAGCAGTAGCATCCAAACCCCTATCCACCCTGCTCGATGCAGCAGATAGGGCACGGTTGATTATCCTTCGGTGACCAGAGCATCAGGAAATGGTTTGAGGAAAGATACATAGAATTGCATAGGCATGACACTGTCAGGTTTCCCAGGTCTAGACAGGAGAACGATTAGGGTTCTCAACCAAAGCCCTTGGTTTAAAAACTTGACCACAAGACAGCGGATTTGGCGTTGGGCTACAAGGAGTCCGCTTTAAGGAATAAGGAGCGATCATCATTCAAACCCGCAACCTGGAGGACCAGGAGGCTGAGTTTGTCTGGACTCTGACCATTGAGCAGTCTGGTATTAGTGGCTCTGAAGGTGCAGAAAAGCACCACCCAGCACAGCTCAATGGATCACTGAGGCACATAAACCATCGCACCACGGTAAGGTCCAGCCTCATTGCGATGGGTATCGTCAGAGTCTATTCCACGTATGCATGGCCTCGGATAATTGGATCATGGTCGCGATAAGCTTGCTCATGTGAACTACTTATGGGACCAAAAATGCTGTTGTGGAGCTGCGACATCAACCGATGTGCATGTCATGACTGCGTAGTTGTGAAAACTAGTGGTCATGCCAAGAAAACTCCTAGAAGCAAGCGAGACAAGGAAAATCTGCAAACTTTGCATCAACAGACACGGATAGGAATAATTTGCCTCCTGGCTGTAATTTATACAGCTGCACCAAACTTTACCAGCACAAACACTGGATTCAAATTACCTTGCGACCATGGAATTGTGACCCATCTGTCCTCAGGTCCTCTTACCTCACGGTACCAACACCAGTTTACCGTGGGATATCATCATCATCATCATCCTCATTACACCCGTTAGCTGCAGGTGGGAAACACCTCAGCTATTCTACCGAAATACAAACGACAAGAGAGGCACAACGGCCGAGATCCCAGTAACGGATGGACATCGTTCCGGAGAGCTAAGAGCCGGCTGTCGTGCCGCAGAGAGTTATAGTAACTGCCAGCTGTACGCCGTAACGGCGCTTCGCTGCCGCGCGACCACCACCAGTCGCGCGCGGGCTGAGTATACCGCGAGGACGCCCACCCCTACGCGGATTCGAACCGGTGACCTTAGGGTTGCAAAGCAAACGTGCAGACCATTCGGCCACCGGCCGACTAGTTATAGTACGCCTAACGAATGAGATCATGGTTGGAAGGGGAAGCTAAGCGGGAGGGGAATGGACAAATGAACGCACAACATAAACGACATTGGGGCCGGCTCCTAGACATATCAACAAGTGTGTCCAACCAGCCGTCTTCATCGTCCTTAGGACCCCAGCCCGACAGTTGGGATGCACTAGCTGACGCTAACTTTAAAGTGAGGGTTTTCATTTCTCTTGACCAAGTCATTGCTTGGCCTCCCCTCTTCCTCTTACAACCGCACGCCGGGCGTGCAACCAATGCACTTTGCAGGAGTCGATGTACTGGCATGCGCAACACGTGGCCCAGCCACCGGAGTCGGGTGCGTGATATAATGGTACTGAGCGGTTCACTAGCTCTTCCTACACCAAATACGCGACGCCGAACACACTCATTGCTCACGCGATACTCCCACCAGACGTGAGCTAAACTGCGAAGGCAGTGATGGTCGAACGTGATCAGCCTCTTTATGTCTGTCGACCTGATGGGCTAGGTTTTACAACCCTAGAAAAGGGCGGCAGATGCTTATATCCGATCATTTGCAACTTTGGTTTGTTCACGATGGCCACTTTTATTATTTTTTCCATGATCCTATATATATGTAGCCACTGTCTGTTGTGTGTGAGCTTTCTAGCGTTTTCCTCTAACTGCTCGTAGATTGTCTTAGAGGCGGTTCTCTGATGGGTCTCTCCCTTTGACAGACTTTGTTATGCTTCTATCCAAATGAACTAATGCTCCCTGAACAGTAATCATCTTGTCCAGTATTTGAGTGATTGAATCGATCAACCCCTCTACTACCGAGTGAACAGAAATCTTGTGAACCATGAACTGCTGTAGCATGAAAGGTTCTACTAAACCTGGAGTCATCAACTAATAGTATTTGTTGGGTCCCCGAGGCACACGAACATGTGTGTATGTATGTTAATCTGTCGTGCACCCTAGCGCGCTCTGATGCTATCACGCACAACCACGTAAATTTGAGGGCAGTCGCACGAGTAGATTAAATTCGGGATATCGACTTGCTACAACGATTTTGTGTGAAGTGCATATTTTGCCTCATACGGGTCGTTCTATCTCAACGTGTACTTCGAAATCTCCGAACGGATACTCCATTCCACTGTTGCTTCTTTGTCTTATTATATTAAGGTCTTCCTCCGAAATAACATTATTGTTCTTTCTGTTAACGCGATCCTTTTCTCGCCTGCTTTTAGCCTACATTTAAGATGATGATAGCTTCTCATAACTTTGCAGTCCTGATATTCACCTCCGTCACCGCATTGCTACGGCGGATTCGACGACCTGGTCACAGCGTTTTCCGAAAACATCGAGGTTTCGTGTTCTGTCCCGATCCGGGTCATCTCCGCTTAAACAAAAAACGCAACACACTGTGGAGTACAGTGTCGAAAGCGTGCCATCACGAAACTTCTCTTTAATTTTTTTAATTGGTTTTTCTTGTTTCGTTTTTGTTCCCTGTGTCCTCTCCAAGGTTCTCAACTCGAACTATGTCCTGCGCTTGTTGTGTTACTGTTCAAGCTATCTCATGCAAACGGACTTACGGTTCTTCGCCTCTTACGTTTTCTCACCGTCTTCTAATATGGCAACACCGGCCTTTAGTCACACCTGCAGCAAACTTCTGTTTAAAAGATGTTTTTTGTACCTCTTTTAACACTATTTTGTGACTACTTTTCAGCTCAATTATGTCACTATTGCGTTTCGCCCCTCGAAACTATCTACTTCGACATCCTGTTCGACATTTTCCGTCCGGATCAGAACGTTTTTACTCCACTCCCCCAAAGAAGGCAAAGCACTTCGTTTTGCCTGATTTTTCTTTAGCTTCCAGAAACGGATTCGTTTGCTATGAATCTCTTCAGAGGTCGATTAAGTGTTGGGGAAATGTTGCCGTTCCCAAAAGGTTAGCATTTTGTTTTCCTTCATCAACGCTGTTCAGTACTGAAAGAGGAACAAACTCAGCGCTTGCAAGAAATGGTTGGTCCAACCGCAAAATTTCTTGAGGTTGGTGAGCTTCAGTTCCCGGTTCAATTTATGCTTCCAGTCCGAGGTGGATGCCGCTAAAAATGACTTGCAAGGCAAATTTGATGAAAAAGTACTATCTATGCTAGGGGAGTTAGGTGTCTACGGTCTACAGGCTCCGGAGATATACAATGGCTCCGGGCTTAATAACACTGAGTACGCTCGTTTGGTGACTCTTGTCGGGCACTCTGATCTTTCCCTCGGTGTCCATCTGGGAGCCCATCAAGTAGCGCATCGCTTCTCTCCCCCTCATCATACAACAGTTCTAGAGCATTGGCTATAAAGGCATACTTTTGTATGGCACGGAAAAGCAGAAGGCAAAGTATGTACCTGATTTGGCTGCTGGAAAGAAGTTCGCCGCCTACTGCTTGACGGAGCCCGACTCGGGCTCGGATGTGTCTTCCATCCAGGCAAAGGCCGAGTTGTCTCCCGATGGTAAACATTACATCTTAAATGGTACCAAAGTATGGATTAGCAATGGCGGATTGGCCGATATCTTCACTGTATTCGCCAAGGTAATAATTTCGTTTCACACTGAAGGTTCCACTGTTCTTTCCTTCAAAGAGATTCTCTAGACTGTTTTATATCAAAGTCTTCGTTCACTGATGAAATGTTTTCACTTTTTTTAGGCATACCAAACACTTCGTAACCTCATTTTCTATTGTTTTGAACTTGGCTTACCATCCTATTTTTCCTTCTCGATTTCAGCCTTGAGACCATTCATGGTAGCCGCATGTACGCTCGTCTCACCTGGCTATTGTGCAAAACAGTCAGTCATCTCCCTTGTTTTAGTGAGTAGTAGGGTGAAACTTTGTCGCAGCTAGACTCAGACAGCTACCACACATCAAGGAAAAGGCTAGACGGCCGTTTCGTCCTATCCGGACTCGTCAGTAACGCACACCCGCCTAATCCTGCCGATTTCGAACCCTCGACCTTACTCTTACGAGCCAGCGATGTATCCACTGTGCCATTGGCGATGGCAGCGGACCGCCATGGCTGATATCTAATGGCAATATAGCGCAACTCCTCCTCTACCGTCATGCATGTTATGAACGTGCAGAGGAAAGGGCGTGCTCCCAGTGCAACGACTTCATTTGCAAGCCGCTACTAATCGTGGTGGCGTGCAAGCCCCTAAGGCTATTACTGAATATTAGTGAGTCAATCATTGCGGTCCGCTGCCGTCGCCCATGGCTCAGTGGAAAAGTCGCTGGCTCGTAGGAGTAAGGTCGTGGGTTCCAATCCGGCAGGATTCGGCGGGTGTGCGCTACTGATGTGTGGTAGCTGTCTGAGTTTAGCTGCGACAACTCCTCACAAGAATCACTTGCTTTTGTTGGCTGATGCTCTCGTCTGTTAGCACGAGTGTTATCCAACGATGCTCACGTTGTTTCTATCTTTGTAACTCCATGTACCTAAGAAGTACATCCTCTAGACACGCACTACTTGCCTTTGCACATCCGTACTTTCTACTTGTGCTCCGCTTTCATACAGCCAGCATTTAAAAGGGGAGCTTACTAAGTAAAAGGTTCAATGAATAGGATTCGCTGCGGAACCTAAATACTTTTCCGTATTGAACCCTTTTTATGAGTGTGTAGCGCAGGGGCTTTACCGCGAGTTGAAACGAACCTTAATGTGATCATATTTATTAGACTGGATATTGAGTTAGCGTGGCCACTATAACACCATACGCCACGCGTAGTAATTGTGTAAAACTTTCCTATTTGTAACTTTCGACATTGTGCGCTAATCCTTCCATTACCGTCCACTAATTATTCCCTAATTACCTACTAAGTCTCAGAGGAATAGAATGCGCGTAAACCCTCTAGACCGTCACGACGAAACTGGATATTAAGGTGTTGTGCCGGTTTGTGTATCTCTTTAACCCATTGAGCTATACTATGTGGGGTCGTTTGGCCTCTTAAGAGCTACTCCTACCAGATTGGTTAATGGTTGGAGGTTAGACAAGCTCAATCTCCTAGTCCCCCAGGTTGGGGGTTTGAAACTGGATGGCGTCCATTTCCGTAAAACCGTATTCTTGTCACCTCCGCTGCTTTGAGAACAGGCTTTTGAGCCAAACGCTTTGCTTGAGGCCCCTAGTCGTTCCCCTGTCTAAATCTGGGCAACCTGGCGGTATCTCGGCCTACGTACAGCCATGACTTCTTCAAACTTCAATCATATTAACATTGGCTGTCGCACAGATTATCAGGGTACACCTTATCTGCTGCATATAGCAGGGTGGATAAGTGAAAACATGCTACTGCTGGCGCCTCCCTTCTTTCTATTCCAACCGTTTCTCTTACAACCCTCCTCGTCCCCATTAATAGCCTTCCTCTTATAATTCCCAGTTTAGTTGACAGGAACAGCAATGCCACTGGAATCATACCATCTGCAACTGTGCTGTCGCACTACCCACTGGACACGAACTTTCAACAGCTCCTTATAAAGCCACACTGTCCTGTTTCACTGTCGGCGTTCAACGTTCGCATTCTCAGCCAAATAGATCAACAGGCTGCCCTCGCGACACGTTAGACACGCTGGGTATTGGTATGTTATATGTCCGAAACTAGGATCAGTGCTGCTCAGGGGGTTGTTGAATTAACTGCGCCTGGTTTGTCCTCTCGCTATTGGTTGCATGCATCCCGAAACGCTGATGTGGCAACCACTGGTCAAGCTGACGTGGGCGTTGTTCTCAGCTCCATGGCCGAGTAATCATTTGTTGATTGAATCCCCTTGAGCAGCCGTTTTGTGTACAGTCCGTTTGACGACTTCAACTAACATTGTTTCACGGAGTAGCACTAGACGCTTATGCCCCACTGATTGCAGCTCTCAAGCTGCGAAGGACGCTTTATACCACGAACTGAACACTCTACTATGTAGTGTTACCAGTTCAGATATCATGGTTCTTGGCGATATGAATATGCAAGTAGGTCGTCTGAGCTCTTCAGAAACTTAGCTAGGTGTAAGTGTGGACTTAACTCAAAACGGACGGACAACTGTTACAGTTACCTGCGGAGCACCAGTTGTTTTTAACTAGCACTGCTTTTAGACACAGTGAGCGCCGAAGTGCCACTTGGCGTCCTTCTTTAGCTGACCAGCGATAGACCCAACTAGATCAAGTTTGCCTTAAGTTGCAGGTGGCGTTGCTCCATCGTGGATTGCCGCTCGTACGGGGGTACTTGCGTCGACTCTGACCATGCCTGGTACGCTGTCGTTTTTCCATGACCTTTACCGAGAAGGGTACTAAGTGCCCCCCTTCGCATCGCAACTGAGAAGTTATCTCAGCGCTCGGCCAGACAAGCCTACCAGGATGCACTGAGTACCGAACTTTCGCTCTCTTGTCCAAATGACACTGAGCTTCAGTCGAATAGGATTTCGGCTGCCATGCAACATGCAGCAGCCTACACTTGCGGCACTGTCAATCGTCACCGCACCAATCACTGGGTATCCTTAAGCTCGGTGAACTTGTTGGATGCAGAAGAAAAGTCCCGACTGGCTCTGAACACAATCTTACCAGGCGGACTATTAGACACGAACTAAAGCGAAGTCTGCGCTCTGACTAGGAAGTCTGGTGAACCAGTCGGGCTCAAGAAATGGAGGAAGCAGGGTCAGTAGGCAATTATCGCAAGCTATTCCAGCTTAGCCGCTCCACTGGTCCCTGGAACTCTGGCACATGGCATTTTGTAAAAGACTGCACGTACAAAAATCATCAGTGTCAGATGTGCAAGCGGTTTGGCCATAAAAAAATCCCACTGTCGTTTTGCACACTGCTTTAGACGTTCGTTTCTCCCAGGGTTGCGCACAAATCCCAAATTTAGAAAAGCCGTTTCAGGGACCAACGACCAAGGTAATTCAATTTTAGGTTTGTTCTCCGGGTCGAACTATTTGCCTGCAGATGTTTCGTCACCAATCGAGGTGACTTTGTCATTGCGTACTAAACAGGCAAGAGCAAGTACTTAACAGTGAAAATCAATGATATCCCCGTAACGTTGTAGCTAGATACGGCGTTCGACATCACTATCACTTCGCGACCGATGTGGACTTAGCTTGGTAGACTGTCTTTCAAGTGCACTGCTTTGACGCCTGAAAATGGATCCCGGGAAGCGCTGAGGTTAAATAGGAAATTGAATGTGCAGTAAACTTCAATGATATGCATCTCCGTGGCACGATCTACTCGGTTTCATACACTGACATTACTCTCTTTGGAATGGATTGGATTGAGAAGGTGAACTTGCTCAATATATCACCGAATCATGTTCGCATGGAAAGGAATGTCATTGTTCATCATACGGCAACACCGACTCATCCAGGCCAAAGCATTTGTGAACGGCTCCAAGCGAAGTATGCTTGTGTCTTCAAGTCGGATTTTGGTCACTGCAAAAAATGCACGCAAAACTTACTCAACTTCCGGATGCAGGACAAGTGTTTCGACCCAAGCATCCAACCCCTTATGCATTCTAAACAATTGTTGAACAGGAGCTTGACCAATTGCAGCAGGCCGGAGTGATCGAGCGAGTCAATTTCTACCCGTGGGCTGCCCCCTATTGTTGTAAGGAAACCGAACGGTACGATTCGCTTGCGCTCAGATTTTTCAACAGGCCTGAATACTGCACTCGAACACCATCAATACCTGTTCCCACTCTCGGAAGACGTAATCGCAATCTTAAGCGAAGGCAAGTGTTTTGCTACTCTTGATCTTGCAGACGCCTGTTTGCGGCTTGAAGTTGAATCCGAAAACACGAAACTTTTGACAATCAAGACGCATCGCGGTCTCTACCAGTACAATCGTTTGTCATTTGGAGCCAAAACCACACCCGCAATTTTTCAGCAAGTAGTACATGCTCATGCCCTACATAGGCATGTCTCGCATTGCACGAGAATGAACAATTTATTTATTTACTGATTTGTTTCCTTACGCTATCCCTGTTACTGACATTTGTTTAAACCCATCATTCCGCTAATTTCACTGACTGCTTGGGGTCACTGTTTCTGCCCTTGTATCTCAGTTCCGCTTGGCTGCTAACGCTCTCTCTTTTCGTTCGTTGCGCGCCTCTTATTGGTTCCTCTATTGATCACTCTTCATTGGCTTCATTCTGCTTGCATGTCTTTCGCAATATGGCTGGCTTACATGTATTTTAGTTGCTTCCCTTCAGCCCATTCTCAAACTATTTAAACAGACATGGTTCAATGCATACAATTCTTTCCTGGCTGGTCTTTGGAGTTCTTCTTGCGGTTGTGGGGCGAAGACGTTCTCTGGCGGCACAACACACGGTTCGGGGCTTGAAAATCTATTGAACCTAAGTACCGCTTTGAGCACGGAGCGTATGTCATTTTCACTCATCCACAGTTGTTGTGTTCCCCGGGCAACCCTGTTCCCCTCTCCCGAATGTGTGCAATCACGACCCAATAACACAGTCTACTCCCAAATACACTTGAGTGATATTTTCCCACACGGTTGAAATTGCATTCTCCTCGTCTGTGTATGTCTGGAAACAGGAATGCGCTCCGTGGTCAATGGTGG